CTCTTTAACACTTTCCATAAAAGATGGTAATTTGATGGTGCCATATCTGGAGGATATGGTGAGTGGGGGAGAACTTCCCAACTCAAATCCATAATCTTGTGTTGCATCAAATGTGCCACATGTGGATGTGCATTATCATGGAGAACACTTTTTTGATTTACGAGTCAAGGGCATTTCTGATGAAGGACTTGATTTAAACATTCCAGTTGCTGACTATAGATCTCTGCATTGACAGTTCACCATCACAATTTTTAAGGCAAATTTCACCTGAAAGAAATTTGTTGAACCATCATTGACACTTACAAACATTCAAAACATTTCCATAAACTTATTTGATATTCTTTGTGGCTACAGAGACGTTTCCCTTTTTGTATTCAAATAGCATTACATACCAAATGTGTATATGTGTGTGTCTCATCATGTGCCATCACTATAAGGGATTAGAGTATACTAAACTTTACACTAACGTGACGTTTAAGCAGTTCATTTAACTATTATACATGATTTACATTTTGGAGGAGGGGGTGGTTGATGGAAGTGTTCCAAAACGTGACATTAATTTCTTGACGACCTAATAAATTAAATGTAAGAGACAGAGCTATTAACAAATCTTGAAAGAGAGGATGTGACAGGTGGGTGTGGCAAGAGTGGTCTGATTTTCTACTTGATGTCTCTGTAACCAAACAAAATTGAAGGCAATAAAAGTTATGGTTTGTCTGAGCAATAACTATTTTATAGCAAGTAATTTGTTTAATTTCGTACTTATTGGAGGGGTGGGGAATACAATAGAGAAGAGGAGATGCCTAGAGAAAATGTCATACTAAGGGAAATTCAAGATTTTTTTAAATATTACCTTATAAAGTTAAGAACTTAACTTGTATTCTATTAAAATATGGATTATTAGCTAAGATTTTATGCTATATAATTGGAGTAACATAAATAAAAAGTAGTTTAATAATTTTTAATGTAAGTCACTAAAACCTCAAGAAGTGCTGTAAATGATGCCTAGGCAAATAAGGTTAAATTTTAAAGTACATGTTTAATGACTAATTTACCTTGGTAGACTTTCTTTAATTGGAGCATACAAAAAAATTTCTTAAGATTTTGGGTTTTTGAAACCACAGTTTCACAAAATTCTGAA